AAAATTTAATGGTAATATAGTCATTTTGTTTATATAATTACAAAATTATATTTAAACACAAAATTCAATTTTTATCAAATGCTTTTACTTTATTATGATATTAATTATATTTATGAGACATCTATAAATATAACTATGAAATTTGTTCCAAGAAAAACTTAAGAGTTCATTAGATTTTACTATGCCTCGAACATAAGGTGTTTGGAATGTGTCTCGCAGAAACGTGAAGCGTTTCGTTTCAGAATTTGTGCCATAGAACTTCTTATATTTTATTGCTTTAAGAGTTTGGTAATTTTTTAGGCTATATAGCAACACTTCTATATAATATTTTAGATGGATTGATTCATGTATTAAGATGAAAAGAGATTTCTACAAATTGAGGTGAAAGTCAGAGATGTTTTTATTAATTTGGAGAATTATTTTTTATTATTTATTTCGATGTGGAATAAAAAAATCGGTGATGTGTTGACAAAGTTCTCGTAAAATATTTTCAGTACGGAAATGAGAGTCTATAATAAGTTGAAACGATAGTGTATGTGCAAGGTTAACACTCCAACATTCAAGTCAGTAATGTCATAGAGATGTAACTTGCAAATATAAAATAAATTGTACCTTGACATGAAGCGAAATTACGCTTGGGCAACAGTTAAAGCCGCCCCTTTAAGTATGACGTGGAATGCTGGAGGTCGCTAGATTGACTCCAATGGCTAGAATGAGCACTTTGTTCGACTCTAATGTGTGGCCCCATAGTGAAGTCCTAAATATTGTTCAGTCTTAAACAAGGGTAGTTATGGATTAAGCTATTTAAATTAGGTTAGTTTTATTGAGTCATTTGGATGACCCAAAATAGTTACCCTTAAGCCTTTGCTACTAGGAGCAGAGTTAAGATTGTTATAAAATTATTAAGATCGACTTCCAAAAAGTTCTTTTTCGTCAGTTTGAGGCCTCCAAAAAGTCATTTGTGCTATGGAAAGGTAAGTGGGATGTTAGGTGGGATTAGGTGGTCTCAGAGACACACACATTAAATGATTGTCTTGTAACTAAAATATTTCATTGTGAAAGTCATTCACGTGGCCAAAGATCTCTAAGGTATGAAAGGGTCGACGCCACTATAACACATGAGTGCATTTGAGTGTCGTTATGGAACCGAGGTTGATCCTTGAACGTTGACTGCACTCTTGATGTCTTATTAATTCATGATCGTCGATCTAGATACCCCTGGTTGCAAATAAATTAGAAAAATGAAATTAATTTCTCCTTTCTCTTCTTTTTCTTTAGAGTTCCATACATCTAGTTTTTTTCTATGATCTTTACTCACTAGTGATATTTCAACTTCTTTAAATCTTCATCTTTTTTGTGCAACTTTTATGAGTCTATCTAGGGGGTTGTCGTAGCTGGGCTCTTCAAAAGTGCTTCATGTATTTAATGGGATTTTTTCAACTCAACATGGGAATTTATTATTTCGTCACGAGTATTGTGATACTCTATATTCAAGTGAACGGTAGAAACGACGATGTCAAGAGCTACTGAAGGGTATTCCCAAGATTAACTGTAGAAATTTTTGTAGGGGACCACCAAGAATTATACATCTACCATTCTTGAATCTCTTCTTTCTCCAAGAGAGTTCGTCAATTCTACGCAGTCTCAAAGGTGTGTTACATAGTCATTGAATGCCTATGTAAAGAGACAATCCCTCCATTTCCATCTCTAATTCTTCGAAGAGATCAACATACATATGGTTTTTTTTTTTTGGAAAAGCAAAAAATGAAGAAGATGAACAGGTAAATCACGTAAGGTGGAAAAAAGTCACGTGTTATTAGATACAAATACAATGGGCTGATTATATGCTTTAGTTATTGGGCTTTATTATTTTGTTGATAGGCCCATTAGGTCTCTTATATATTATGTAAGCCTTTTTTGGCATATGCAATTTTAAAATTCATTTTTCATTCTATTCCTTTTTCCGCCAATGGCTTTTCTTCAACCTAAAACTCTGCTATGGTTGTAATATGGTATAAGTAGTATACAACCCTTTCATTCTTGTTCTTCTCTATTTTCCTATTTCTTCCATCTTCTATGGCGTCTGACAATGAAACAGAGCGTCCTAGCACCCCCAAAAATATACCACCATCCAAGAACGCACCTCTTGATCCAAGCCTACATATGATTCCAAGTACACCTCTCCTCAGGATAAAGACATCCTCTCACCAAGGAGGATTACCAACAACTTATGCTTCTTTTGCAATAATCTCGAAAGTATCAAACGAACACCAAGAATGACAATCATGCGCACCCTGACACTGGAATAATCTTAGATATGATCAACATAGGTAAATCTATTCATCAAAACTCTATGTGGATATTGGATTCAGGGGCTTCACACCATGTGTGTCCCCATATCAAATCCTTTTATGAAATTCCTGCTATTAATCATGTGCAAATTTATCTTCCTAATGGTACTTGTTTGACTGCTTATTATTCTGGCACAATCACTCTTGAACATTCTCTGCATTTACATAATGTCATTTAACTGCCACAATTTAGATTTAGCTTGATTTCTATATCGAAACTTTGTCAAGATTCCAATTATAACATATCCTTCTCACAACAATAGCATAACAACCCGTATATTCTGCACAGAAATCCTATGCATAGTTTTTCTATTTCTAATACTTGCAATGTTGCTAGCACAAATAATTGTAATTCTGATAATCATTCCCTATGGAACTATAGGCTAGAGCATCCCTCTAATGAGGTCCTATATCAAATGTCTAAAACTTTCCCTGTTATTAAACATTGTAAAGTTTCTCCTTGTAATACTTGTCATCTATCAAAACAATGTAAACTGCCTTTTCATAATAGTAAATTTGTTTCATCCAATTATTTTGACTTGATACATAGGACATATGGGGCTATATCTCTACCCTTTCTTATGGCTAATAAATCGGACACTAGATTACATCTCAAAAACTTCTTTACTTATTATCAAACACAATTTTCCTGCAAAATCAAAACTAAAAGAACTGACAATGGCAATGATTTTACCACGCCTTCCTATTATGATTCTCTTGGGATAATTCATCAGAGGAGTTGTGTTGTGACACCTCAGCAAAACTCCACTGTTGAGAGAAAACATAAGCACTTACTTAATGTAACTAGATCTCTTTTATTCCATGCCAACCTCCCTAAAATCTTCTGGTCGTTTTCTCTATGCCATGCTACCTTTCTAATCAATAGATTATGCCACCCTACTATAAACAATCAAACACCTCATGAACTACTATTCAAAACACCTCTCATCTATGATAATGTTAAAACTTTTGGATGTTTGGCTTATACCTCTACTCTTAAGAGACAAAGAGATAAAATTGACCCTAGAAGCATCAAATGTATCTTCTTAGGATTCACAATAGGCATTAGAGGATATCTCCTCTTTAATCTTAAAACCAGATCCCTTTTACTAGCAAAAATTGCATTTTCTATGAGAACATTTTCCCATATACTCCCCACCCTTCCACCTCCTTACTGACTCTCATGATATTCCCACAGATACTTCTCACAATCCCTTCCTGTTTGACCATATCAATACTCCTGATAATTCAACACAAAATTCCAACACACCTATTCCTACCCATAACCAAAGAACATTCCACCCCTGCAGCTCACACAACACCCCAAAATATCACGCAAGATACTACTCCTGACAGTTCTACTGATAATGATAATGATAATGACAATGATAATGAAAATTCTCATGTTCTTGATAACATAAGAAAATCCACTAGACTTAGGACTGCCTCTGTTTACTCTAAAGATTTTGTTTGCATGAATTCTGATAAACATGTTCCATATGACATATCTAACTACATTGCATACAATAATCTTTCCCCTGCATATCACTCTTTTATTTCCGCCGTGACTATTACATGTGATCCTATTTCATATAAACAAGCCTCTGTAGATCCTAATTGGATCAAGGCTATGCAAAATGAGCTACATGTACTATCAGCTAACAATACTTGGTTACTTACCACTCTCCCTCCTGGCAAGAAAGCTATAGGCTGTAAGGGGGTTTACAAAACCAAATTCAAGTCTGATGGTGGCATAGAAAGGCACAAGGCCAGGTTGGTAGCCCAAGGTTTCAAACAAATACAAGGTATTGACTTCTTTTCTACTTTCTCCCCTGTTGCCAAGCTTACTTCTGTCAGGTTACTTCTTGCCCTTGCTTCTTCCATGAATTTACACTTACATCAGTTAGATGTACATAATGTTTTTTTTACATGGTGATTTAGTTAAAGATGATTACATGACTTTACCTAAAGGCATGACAACCACTCAACCAAATCAAGTTTGTAAGCTCCTCAAATCCATATATGGATTAAAACAATCCAGTATGCAATGGTTTAAGAAGCTCTCAACTGTATTGATCAAACATAAGTATAAACAATGCTCATCTGATCATTCATTGTTTATTCACAAAGATTCTGACTCATTCACTTGCATTCTAATTTACTTTGATGATATTCTAATTGCAGGTAATAATCTCCAGCACATAGAACAAACAAAAGAAATGCTCCATCATAATTTTTACATCAAGGACTTAGGCACTTTGAAATACTTCTTAGACCTAGAAATAACAAGGAATGCAACTGGAATCAACATATGTCAATGCAAATACCCTCTGGATATGCTAAACAACACAGGTTTGCTTGCCTGCAAACCTGCTTCTACCCCAATGGCACGCGATACTCGCCGACAAACCAATGATGGTCCTCTGATGCAAGATCCTACCAAGTTTAGAAGATTGATCGACCAACTCATCTACCTCCTCAACACCAGGCCTGATATATCATATTCAGTCCAACAATTAAGCCAGCACATGAGCAAACCCACCGAAACACACTATCATACTGCCCTTCGTGTTCTTCGATATCTCAAATCTTCTCTCGGACAAGGTCTCTACTTCTCCAACAATTCTATTCTTCAACTAAAGGATTTCTATGATTCGGACTGAGCTACCTGTCCCGACACCAGAAAATCCATCACAGAATTTTGCATCTATCTCGTTGACTCCCTTCCCTTGTATCATGGAAATCGAAAAAGCAGCCTACAATATCCAAAAGTTCAACAGAAGCAGAATATCTTCAATGGCCTCCACTGTTTGTGAGCTTCAATGGCTAACTAGAATTCTCACAGAACTGCACATACCATTCAAACAACCAACTCTTTTATATGTGACAACGCTTCCGCAAGACACATTGTCAGCAACTCTTCATTCCATGAAAGAATCAAACATATAGACCTTGACTACCATATTGTTCGTGAGAAACTACATCAACATTTATTCCATCTTCTTCCCATCAAATCCTCCCAACAACTTGCAGATGTATTTATCAAACCTTTAGATACGACACATTTTCGTTCAAACATTATTAAATTTGGACTACATTCCATTTACCCACAAGCTTATGGGAGTATTAGATACAAATACAATGGACTAATTATATGCTTTAGTTATTGGGCTTTATTATTTTGTTGACAGGCCCATTAAGTCTCTTATATATTCTGTAAGTCTTTTTTCACATATGCAATTTTAGAATTCATTTTTCATTCTATTCTACTTTTTGTCGCCAATGACTTTTCTTCAACCTAAAGTTTTGTTATCTGTTTCAATATATATATATATATATATATATATATATATATATATATATATATATATATATAATATATATATATATATATATATATATATATATATATATATATAATATATATATATATATATATATATATATATATATATATATATATATATATATATATATATATATATATATATATATATATATATATATATATATATATATATATATATATAATATATATATATATATATATATATATATATATATATATATATATATATATATATATATATATATATATATATATATATATCGGTTTTATTTATACAAACTTTTAACTTTTTAGTACAGTTACTTCTGTTCCGTCTCATGCATCATATTTATAGTAATTAATCACAAATGTTGAAATGTTTGTATTATTAACCATGTTTAATTTTATATGGATATATAGGTTGGAAAACGTATGAGAATGTGGGGAAAATGAACACCATCCAAGTGCCTCCTCAAATTGCAATGGGCATGACTCGCTAGAATTTTGTTCATCTTCTTGAATTCAATTATTATCTAGTTGATTTTCAAGATCTTAATACAATAAGCACTTAATTTGTTTTTTTAATTATTTTGTTTGTTATTTTGTTATTGTTGTAATTGAAAGCTACTAGCTTTGTTCTTGTTCGTTTCCCTTTGTATATTTGTTTCTTTTTTTGTTTATTTAAATGACGTTTTTAAACGAAGAATTTACTTATATGAAATATGATTATTTTCATGTTGAAATGTATATGAAATATGAATAACACATAGTACAAAATATACACACCCACTGTAAAACTCATTTTGTTAGAATTAAATCAAGTGGCATGTAGAAGTTTTGAGAAGAACAGACAATTAAATAAATACTAGCTAGAATAGTATAGAAGCTAGATTACTTGTTTAAGTAAAATTAAGCTTCCATATTGAGAAAGAAAGCAAGTGGACAAATTGCACCACCTAAGAATGCTTACTTTCTAAGTCACTTGCCATTAAGCACATGTACTCCAAAGCCTTATAAAGGCAGGAAATCAATACTTTGAATATCATAAGTTTTAGAAACAAAATACAATTGTGAATTTTAATTCCTCTTTATCTGTTTTATAAGTGTGTTTGAATTTTTCATATTATGTACTATCACTCATATCATATCAAATTGATATTAGATTGATATTAGAGTCGGATAGGTTTGGTTAGTACGAGTGTCAAAAATATTTTTAAGTTTGTGATCAACAAAAGAGTTTTTATTGTATTAAAATTATTGTGAATATTTTTTTTGAGAGAGATATGACAAATTTATAATTTTATATGGTCTCACTATTAAAAGTATATACAACAACACCAAAGTAATAACGATATTCTATATGTCATTGTAATATGTTAAAGTTGAAGTGTCTGATGAATATCTTTTTTTATAAAAAGTAATTTAATGACAGTTGTTCTTAAAACCATGTTGATAATCTATGTGTCACAAGCTTTGATTTCCAATAACTATATTTTTTCCTTTTCTCGAGTACATTAAATGTGTGTCACTTAATTCCATTATTGAAAACATAAATTGAAAATGATTTAACAACGGTGGATTGCCTCAACCATTGTTAGATGATTTAAATTTCCAACAGTTGAATTGTTCAACCATGGTTAAAGATTTTACTGATAAATTAAACAAAACTTATTCTGCATTTCTTTCATTAGATGCCCTAGGCGAACAGGCAAACCAGAGACGATATCGATAGTGCTATCATATCCATTCATTTGAAACTCAAATCTCCACCCTCTTCGTTCATTTGAATCACAAATCTTCAATATCTTCGTTCTTGTTCTCGCCCTCATCTTCGAAGTACGGTAATCTTCATCTTCGATTTTCATTCCTTTTATATGGGTACATGTTACCTGCTTCATATTTCATTCAATGTTGTATATTGTTCTTGGTTCATATTTACCGTTTGTTTGTTGTTTTGTTTGTTCCCCGAGATGAAACATGTACCTTTCTTGTGTTTATGTTGTATGCTTCCGATTTTTTTGTTGGATATAGAAGTGAATAAAAATATTATATTGTTGTGATGGATATGCATATGTTTAAAGTTTAGAGTTATATTTTTGTAATGAATATGCTTTAGTTTTTGGATATGGTTTTGGTTTAGATTTTGGTGTGTCATTCACATTATTATTCGTGTATAAATTTCAGAAGTTGTTATGGATTGTAGTTGAAAGGAAGTCGATAGATTAGGTCCGATTTATGAGAAATGAGTTCTTGAATGCGCTGATAAAAATCTTCCCGACAATGATGATATCTTTTATTGTCCTTGTGTTAATTGTATGAATATCGATAAAGATACAAAGGATGAAATATTCCATCACCTATGTTGTGATGGTACATGTCAAAATTATACAATATGGATGAGGCATGGTGAGGTGGATAAAGAGGGAACTCGGGCGTCACAAAGTCAAACAATGGATGAAGATGAATATATGGATGATTGACTAGAAGATATGTTCCGTGATATTGGAGAATCTTCTTTTAAGAATGCTCATATTTATGATACTTTATGTAGTGATAAATACACTCATTTATATAAGAGATGCACAAGTTTTACACGATTGTTAGCGGTGTTAAAGTTGTTTAATCTGAAGGCAAAAAATGGATGGTCGGATAAAAGTTTTACGAAATTACTTGATTTGCTAAAGCAAATGTTACTAGAAGATAACAATTTGTTGAATCGTTGTTATGAGGCCAAGAAGATATTGTGTCCAATGGGTTTGGAGTATATCAAAATACATGCAAGCCCTAATGATTTCATATTATACAGAAAAGCGTATGAAGACTTATATCAATGTCTGGAATGTGGTGTGTCGCGTTACAAGCTGAAGGCAAACAATGGTGATGACAATGACTATGACAATGTTAGTGGAAAGCATCCTCCTGCTAAAGTGTTATGGCACTTGCCAATAATTTCACGATTTATGAGACTTTTTACTAATTTGAATGACGCAAAGATATTAGATGACATGTAGATGAAAGGAAACGTAATGGAAACATTCACCATGTAGCTGATTCATTGTAATGGAAGAAAATAGATTCGTTGTTTCCAGATTTTGGATTGAGCCAAGGAACCTTAGGCTTGGGCTTGCCACTGATGGAATGAACGCCTTTGGTAATCGAGCACTAATAATTCTGTGTGGCCTGTTCTTCTCAATATTTATAACATATATCCTTGGTTGTGCATGAAACACAAGCATATGATGTTAAATATGATAATTTCTGGACCACGACAACCTGGTAACGACATAGATGTTTATCTAAGTCCATTAATTGAATATTTATGACTTTTATGGGATGAAGGCGTTGAAGTTGATGATAGATATTCTGGGGAAAATTTTAAGATGTGTACAATGTTATTTTGCATAATCAACGATTTTCATGCTTATGGTAATTTGGTTGGATATAGTTGTGAGTGCAACTACACTATTAGTTATTTTACATGATGTCAAAACTCGAAAAGGTAGCATTTTAGTATGGTGGACGGTATCCTTATGTCTTATGGCACTCCCTTGTATTATAGGTCTTAGGAATCATTTAAAACAACTTAAAATTTTTTCCTAATCATGAAAACCGGTTTTTGCATAAAACCAACATTTATGTGTCGACCTGAAATTTCTCTGTGTCGACACATAAATTCAGCATTTTTGCATTTTCTTAAAAGTTTCAGTATGTGTCGACACATACAATTTATAGGTCAACAAATGTACTACATTATTAAAGCCTTCAACATTTATGCTTTAAAACACAAGCACATGTGTCGACACATACGATTTTCAAGTTGACACATGTACTACATTTTTAAAGCATGTAGCTACTGTTTTGTATGTGTCGACACATAACTTTTTCAGGTCGACACATATTATTTTACGGGTCATTTTTCATAATTTTTTCATTCCAAAACTACCCTCTTTTACCTAAAAAGAGTCCAACTATAAATATATAATTCATGCATCATTCATAACTTTGTAATACCATAAAATTAGCCCATATTTCTCTTTAACTTCAACCTCTAACCTATGCATACACACTAACATTACTTGTGATGATGTTCCGTTGGGGTGCCATCTAAACGAGGATTAATAGTTTCAATTGAGTATTGGGTTGATCTTTGTAGGGGTCTTCATCTGAGAAAAACTGCGGGTTTATCCTCCAAGATCATTGATTTATTTGGGGGTTTTCGTGCAAGGTGTTTAAGAGGTAATTGCGGCCAAGTGAAGTCTTTTAGAGATAAAGAATGAAAGGGATCCTTTAGAGATAAAGAATGCAAAGGAAGTAGTGAGAGAACGAAAAATTACAATTGAAGTCTTGTGTTGCAAAAGTTTGAAATTGAGTGTGCGAAAGCTTTGGCGATAAAGAACGCAAAGGAGTAGCAAGGTCCAGATCGTCAATTTGAATCTATTATGTCTTGGTCTTGTTGAAGATTAAAGGAAGAGAAGGGTTTGAATTAACATCAAACAGTTATGGTTTATAGAGTTACTCTTGAACACTTCTCTTGTATTCATACTTTTGCAAAGTAAGAAAGTATCCTAGTTCTACATTGGAATTGGGCACAAACGTATCCACATGTAAGGACAAACGTGGA